CTTTAGATTAGATTTAGTACTTTAATAAATATATCTTTATATAATAGAAAAGTATATATTAAATAACTATCTTAATATTAAGGCTTAACTAGTTAAGACAAGTCTTAACTAGAAGCTAGGTCTAAAGGGTTAATTAAGTAAAACAGAAAATGTAGTAAATAATACTAGAATGTCTTTAACTTAAGTATAAGCTAATAATATAAGTTGACTACAAAGACTATAAAACTATCTAGGAAACAAGTATGCTTATATAGGCTAGGAGATTCGTGCTCTTAAGTGCTTACGATGAAACACCTTGTAGTATTACTTATGCGGAGACGTCCTGGAGCGTTGCTTATGCAGAGATGTCCTTGAGCATTATTCCCAAGTGCTTATGGATGAGCACCTCTGAATACTACGTTGAGAGGTACTGACCTTGTAGGTAGTTCAGGGTCCGGTAGGCTTGTTCAAGCCTGTCATAGCTTCTTCGCAGAGCGCTAGGCAATCCCTTAGTGCCTATCTGTGCTTAGCGTGTTCACGTGCTATAATATTATTCCCTCCTCTTACTAGCTTGGTCCCACAAGCTAAAAGGGTGTCTTGTAATTTCTAAGGTTCTTTTAATTCTTCCTTCTGTGATGCCTTTATCTGCTTTACGCATTAGCAAACCTTCCTCTTATGTTCGTGATTAGGCTCTTGCTGCAAAGATAGCCCTTTAGGGTTATCAGATTAACATGCCTTATTTGGTATGTAAGTGTAATAAGAAGCTGTATTTCTTTTTATTATATTCCTTGAAGTGTTCGCATTATATAGTAAAGGGTGTTCCTTGTAACAGAAACTATTTAGAAGATGCATTCTAGAAGTTAAAGTCAGAGCGGACTTGTTTAAAGGCTACTTATTCTTACACTATTATAGAGGTGTTGCGCTTTATTACTAAAGTAACGAGTTTAGATTAGTATATTAAGTCTTTAAAAAAGACTTAAGATCAAATAATTAAGTAAGAAGCTCTTTTCTTAGAACAAAAAGATCTTTATTAAAGGTTATAATCTAATACTATTAAGGTTAACATCTTTAATAAGTAGAAGTTAGCTACTCTAATGTCTTTCTTGCCTAGTCCAGGTTCTAATAATAGTAATTTATAAGTGTCTTAATAAAGTCTATTACTATTACTTCCTAGGCTTCCTTTAGTGCCTTTAGTAACTACATTTTACTATATAGTTTATGTCTTAAGTGCTTTATTTTCTAATATATGTTATACTTATTTATTTATTCTTAGACAGATTTATTTATTTATAAGAAGTAGTATAATCTTAAAATCTATTTAAGTATCTTATTAATCCCTTAATATCTAGCTAATATTTCTTTATAATATTAATAAAGTATTATATCCTTTACAGAGTTAGCTATATATACTAGTCCTTTATATAAGATTAGCCTACTATCTTATATTTTAAATACTAGGTAGTTTTCAGGTTTCTTCTTAATTTTTCTTGCTAATCTGTTCTTTTAGTACGCCTTAATAAGCTGTCTCTCTTAATTTTAATTAGAAATTATAAAAGTAACTATAAGCACTAAATTATTATATCTTAT